CTGACAACCCCTCGAACAAGACGCGAAAGTCACCGGAGTGTGGGCAGTGGCCAGGCAGCCCCGAGGCCCGGGCAGCACTGGCGGCGTCGGGAAAGGGCCCCCCATTTCCCTGCTCCCGTGAGGTGCCCCTGCCCGGAGCAGCAGCGCTTTTGTCCCCCGGTTTTCGGCTCCAGTTTCTGGGAGGGGGTGGATCAGGCCCTGCTGCCCTGGATGCTGGGACTGCTGAGGGAGCAGGGGGGCCACGCCAGCCTGGAAAGCCCCAGGGCACAGTGACCGAGGCAGAGAGCTCACTCCCAGTGCCTGCAGGGCCCTGGCTGCCGTGGCCGTCCCTGGTCCAGGACCACAGGACAGCCCACATGGAGAGGTCGCTGCCGGCAGGCACCGGGGCTGAGCCTGGTGTCTCCACGAGGAGTCCAGGAAGGAGTCTGTATACCATCAGAATTACATTGATGTTACTTTAACTGATCGTTATAACTTAAGATGCTAATGGTACCTCCCAGGGCGACCATTAAGAAAACAGTAGGAAATATCTACTAAGAGAAATGACGAGGGAATTCAAATGCCATCCCTGCGTATTTTCCTTCGAAAGCCTCCTGGCTCTCTAGTTGTCAGTGAAATGCTGGGGAGCCTTAACTCCGTGAGGAGAGGAGGGGTGCTCACGCTCCTTCCCCCTGCGTCCCTTCGTTTTCCAAGCGTCTTCCCAAATAAGACCAGGTTTCCTCTTCACAAACACCCTGTGAGGCAAGCTTTATAATATCAGTTTTCTAAGTGAGGGCTCTGGGGCTCAGAGAGGTTGGGGAAGTAGCCCGAGGACACACAGCCAGTGTGAAAGGTGGGACTACACTGAGGTCTGTCTGATTCACGGACAGGGCTCCTTCCTCCAAGTCCAGCTCAGCACGTGGCCACCAAGATGCTGGCTTCCTTGTCCTTTGCTCCTTCTCCTCAATTTTAAAATATCAAACATGAGCCAAAGCAAAGAGATAGTAAAAGGAACCCGCATGTACCCATCACTCAGCTTCAACCCTTTGGGGCAATCTCGACCCATCGACATCCCCGCACACTATCCCCTGCCCACTCCCATTCTTTTGAAGCAAATCCCAGATAGAGCCTTTCAAACGTGAAATTTTCAATACGTGCCTTGAAAAGGTGTTTGTTTTTTACATGTAACCACAAATATTATGATCACTTCCGAAAAATAATTAATTCCTTAACATCATCCAGTATCTAAGTTAGTGTTTTAATTTCTCTGTCTCTTTTTAAAGTTTGTTTGAATATGGACCCAAATATGGTGCCCACCGTGCAATTGGTATTTTTCATTTATAGATTTCCCCTCCCTCTTACCCCCCACCCCCTACAAGCAGTTTATCTGCTGAAAAAAATGGTTCAATTGTGCTGTATAGCTTCTCAGAATCTGGACTTTTCTGATTGCAGGGCCATAGTGTCACTGGTGTGTCCTCTGTGTTTGTAAATGGGCAGTTAAATCTGAAGACTCGGCCAGATTCAGGTTCAGTGATCAGGAAGTTCCGAAGACGGATCATCTCCTTTGTCCTCACGACATTTTTATCTGTGAAACTTGGAAGCAGCTCAAAAGTCTGCTGCCAGGGGGGAAAGTTATATCACGGTAGTTCACTATTACAGTGGACTTTTATGCAGTCATTAATAATCCTCGTTTTCAAAACACATTGAGTGATATGGGGAATGTTTATTATATAATGTTAAGAAAAGAGGCAGGAATCAAAAAACTCATATGGTATGCCATATATTTTATACAGAGGAAAAGGATGAAAAGAAACCACTAATTGCAAGAAAAAAATGATGCTAATAGAGGCTTTAGAATTATGGGGGATGTATTTTCTTTATTCTTTCTGTAGAATTCAAGTTTTAATAATATGTTCATATGACTTTTATAATCAGAAAAAATGACTTAACATAATTTGTGAAACTCCCGTATGTCACATTGTGATTTTCCCGAAGTCACCCAGAGGACCACAAAGTGTTACCTTCAAACGCACAAGGCGGTGTGACCACATGAACAAATGACCGGTCAGTTGCTGGTTGGCGGCTGGCTTTTGATGTCTCTGAATGCTGATGTTGGTTACAAAGACCAGTCTGCAGGTCACGTGGGTGGGGAACAGTTTATCAGAAAGGCCCCCGGATGACCTAACCGGTTTGGCTCAGTGGATAGAGCGTCGGCCTTCGGACTCAAGGGTCCCAGGTTCAGTTCCGGTCAAGGGCATGTACCTTGGTTGCGTGCATATCCCCAGTAAGGGGTGTGCAGGAGGCAGTTGATTGATGTTTCTCTCTCATCGATGTTTCTAACTCTCTGTCCCTCTCCCTTCCTCTCTGTAAAAAAATCAATTATATATATATATATATTTAAAAAAAGAAAGGCCCCCGGAGAAGCCCTTGGCTTAGCTGGCCTGGTCAGTGGGCATGGGTCTCCAGAAAGCCCAGGCCACCACCTGTGCCTCCTCCACATCACTCATCACAGGACCTCACACTGCAGAGACACCAACCCCCAGCAGCGAGGACAGCTGGGGGCAGCTCCAAGCACGTGGAGCAGGGCGAGGCCGGGGCACAGCCCCCCTTAGGGCATGCTGGGGGTCCCTCGGCCAGGACAGAAGAACCAGACAAAGAAAGAAGTGAGAATTCCGTTCATGATTTCAACCTTCTGCTTCCCAGTCCAGGTTAGCCCAGATCAGTGTCCCGAAAGCAGGCATCAGACATTGATCTACGTGAAAAGAAGATTAGATGTAAAGTCCAGGAGGCCTGTTTCTAGCTCTGACACTCTAATCCTTTCTGGGACCGGGGTCAAAGTTCCTGGGAGAGGGAGAGGGAGAGGGAGAGACAAAGAGGGGGGGGAGGGGGGAGAGATTGGTTGTTTCTTCACTCATAAATGATCGTTTAAATTTTGTTCTCACATGTATACCATCATACCATTAGATTGCGGCATAGATGTCACACACACACACACACACACACACACACACACACACAGTGCTTGTGAGAGCCACACCACAACCCAAATTCCACTCATGCATTTCAACTCCCGGGAAACCACAAATCACTAGGGTCACCCTCTAGCCAACCAGTCTCTTCCGTGTTATTCCTGGTTCCCGTTAAGTGGAGGATAGATTTTAAAACGTTTCTTTTTCTATTAAGTTGGCACAAGCTGATTACAGGGAAGTGGGAAAAGGCAAAAAAAAAAAAAAAGTATAAATAAATAAAAATCACTACCTTGGCCACACCGTTCCGCGGTAACCACGGCCAGCATTCTGCTGTATCTCCTTCCAGCCTTTGAATCGTATATTTACATGTTCACGTAGTTGCTATCGCATTGTACATACAGTTTCATATCAGTGTTGTACTTGATACCATAATCAGGAGCCCTTTCCCATACCATTGCATTTCCGTGTGGATAGCCTTGTGTTATTATCTGCTATGTTTCTCTGAGCTGATTAAGCAATCCACTAGTCCTCGCTGAGCTTCCGCTATGTATATGGCAGATAAGGTGAAACATTCTAGGGCGGGTGGCTATAACCATGTTTCTGTCGGTGAGAAGAAGAAAAACATGGACATGCCAAGCTTTCAGACCAGACCAGGGAGGAGGGGAGGGACAGACAGGACGGGTGACCATGGGGACCGTATTTTCTGAGCTGAAAATTGGTCCACAGGATCTGACCAAGGTGGCCTTGGGCAGGTCATTGAATTTCTCTGTGCCTCGGTTTCCTCTTTTGTAAATCGGGGACGAGAGTAGGACTTGTCTCTAAACTGTCCTAGAAAATAGCACTACGCGAGTGCTTGCTGTTTCACTACTGGGGTGGGTCGGGGGGGAGGATACAAAAATATTTCAGAAGCTGTTGCTTGGTTGTCAAAATATTTGCATTTCCAGCACATTCTAATGTAGGGATCGTGGTGCAAAATATTTGAAATCTGAACTGTCCTGGGAGACACAGAATGCGGGCGGTCCTTGGAGGAAGGGAGTGGGGAAGGGAGAAAGAGAGAGAAAGGGACATAAAGAGACAGAAAGAAAAGAAGACACCGAGAGTCGTTCTAGCCAACAATCAGGAAAGACTACGCCAAGGAGGAAAGATCGGAAACGGGCTTTAAAATCTTCCTTAAAAACCACAGCCCTTTGGTTCACACGGTGACACACGCGGAGGGAGAGGGACCCCGCCTGGCCGACCCCTCCCCGGACTTGAACTCCGTCCGCAGAGCCGGCCCACCTCCTGAATCGGAGAAGGCACTTGGCTCACCTCGCTGGGCCGAAGGGAACAAACCGGAGAGAGGACCAGAGGAACTTCTCGGCCGATGACTTCCCTCCTCATTTTAACCAGGAGCCAAAGCCTGCGCGGGGACTTTGGTTCCAGGGCAAACATTCTTCACTGTTTTCTCAGCACCATGTAACCCGACCCGGGGCTATCAGCCGAGGGCCAAATAGAACATGCTCGCACAGCGCCACACTCCTTGGCTCAACATGACAGGTCATCTGGCCCAGGAATTATGCTCTTCATTTTTCGAATGATTTGACAAGGAGTGACTTTCCCATTAAAAAAATTCTTTTTTACTTGAGCAGCATTTTTTTAAAAGAAAAAAAAAAGAAAAGATTAATAAGGACTTGCCAGCCGTTGACAGCCCTGATGGTGAGAGGAGACTGACTGGAGTCACCCAGCCTGGGCTCAACTCTGGGCACTTAGTGAGGAGCCAGGGGCCTCTCGAAGGTGCTGGTGGTGGACACGGGCAGCCCAGGGAAAGCTGCAGGTTGAGAAGAAAGACTGGGCCCGGCCCATGTGGCTCAGTGGTTGAGCGTCCACCTATGAGCCAGGAGGACCCGGTCAGGGCACAGGCCCAGGTTGTGGGCTCGGTCCCCAGTAGGGGGCGTGCGGGAGGCAGCCGATCAGTGATTCTCTCTCGCCATTGATGTTTCTATCTCTCCCTCTTCCTTCCTCTCTGAAACCAATAAAAAAATATATATTTTAAAAATTAATTTTTTTAAAAAAAAAGAAGAAAGACTGGGATTCAGCTAGTCTTTCGATTTTGCTTGTATTTTATCACTTGGTCTGGGAAGTAGCTCTTTTTATGATTGACACAAAGAGAACCAACCCCCAGGAGGTTAAATGGTGGTCCGATGGCATGGTAACCGGGGCTTTTATGCCAGTTCTCCCCTGCGGGACCGAGGCCCGGAGGAAAGGAGCTCTGCAGAACCCTTCCTCCGATTCCCACCTCACAGGACCCAGCTCGGCGCAGGCGCTCCATCGTGTTGGCTCGGTGCGTGACTGCAGGGCCTTGGATGATGCCTGCACTCTCTGCACCTGGGTGCGAGGTAAGAGGCTTTAACCGTCCCAGTGGCACCCTCTCGGTGAATTCCCTTCTGACGCCTGCACGCGCTGTGCCAACAGGAAAAGAGGGCACCCATCCCCTCCCGCCCCCTTATTTCCCTAAGCAGATGGCATTCGTTCCCATTGCTGCTGTGCCAAAGCAGCACAAACACCGTGACTAAAAGCCACACGAAGTTATTCTCTGGTCCCCCTGGAGGTGAAGAGTCAGGGACCTGTTTCACGGGGCCGACGCTGAGGTGTCAGGAGGTGTCTGTGGATGGCGCCTGCCTGCAGGACCGTCACAGGCTGGCATTCCAAAGAACTCTGAATCTAACCTCAGAAAAAGCCTTAGAAGATGAGTCAGTCCTCAGCGACATTCTCCTGGGGGCCTGGAGGAGAAAGTCACGCAGCACGTTAACCAGCAAAGCTAATAAAGGACCCTGGAGACACCGCTCCCTCTCTGCAGGCCCTGCGCTCAGCCTCTCCGCTGGCCTGCCCAACCCTGGCCTGCCCGACGCTGCCCCGGCGGCCAAATCCGTAATTGTTCCCAGGGAAACGCTCGAGCATCAGGATTTAATTTCGATGCTACCCGCTCTCAGCAAATCAGCAGGCTGTCGCTGATGGGGGGAGGGAGGGAAGCTCTATCCACTTCCTAAATGCTTGGGTGTGTTCCTGGATCTGTCTGCCACAGCAGGGCCCGGGAGGCATCCGTGTCCAACCCCCCGCGGTCCCATCTGGAGCACTTGTAGGACCAGCCCTCTGTCGCAAGAAGCAGTGGACGGGGAACTGTTCCAGGTCGAGGCTGACTCTGCAGAGGCCTCTGGTGAGGGGCGAGTCCTGCCTGGCAGCCCACCTGGCCTGGAGTTCTCGGGGCCATCCCAGCTCCCCAGCATCTCCTCAAAGGCCTTCCTTCTTCCTCCTCCCGAATGAACATCATCAACCAAAAGCATGAGCCTGGGTGAGATCTCACTTGGTTCAGTAACTCTCGGCCATCCGGTCCTGTTGCTCTGACGTGATCCAGCCCTTTCTGATTCGCTAAGCTGCGCTTGAAGGCTCTTAGCTGTGTGTGCAAGTCACCCCGCGTGTCTAATAATGACAGGAGTTGCAATGTAGGCGTGTTTCCCGCTTTGTCGCACCTGATCCTCACACCAACCCTGTGAAGTAGGTATTCCTGTCCTCCCACAGTTTCCCCAGGAGACACCTACCCAGGGCGAGTGCACGTGACTTGCCCAAGGTCCCTCAGCTAATAAGTAGTGGAGTCAGAATTCACCGTCTGACGCACGGCGAGGCAACGCACCCGTCTTCCTAATCACCGGGCTGTGAGCTGGACTCCACCCTGACGTGTGTTCTATCGAGCTGTCAGGCATCCTGCCTCGCAGGCAGAGAGAGGGCTCTGGGTCCGCAGATGAGGCTCCGAGCCTTCCAGACCTCCCTGTCCAGCCGCGCTCCTCCCTTCCATTTGCTGCAAGACAAGTGTGTCCAGGAGGCCAAGGTCACGGCCCCTGAGAGCTAAGTTAAGTCCTAACTTCTAGCCACAGGCTTCGCCAGGAAGTTTCTTAGCTTTTTCAGTCTGAAGAGTTGGCATGACCCTGGGTCAGGTGGTTCTTCGCCTGCCCCATCAGTCTGGTCTTGGGGGCATTGCCCAGAGATTCGATTTCTGACCCAAAGGTGACCTGGGCGAGATTACAGGACGGTCACACTTCGAGTTCAGCATCTCGCATGGTCCTCTGCTGTGCTGACATTCACGTTGAATAGTCACATGTTAAAAAACTCCCCACACTGTCCGTGTTGATCGTCTGCTGTGCTATTATAAGAATGTTTGCTTAGAAATGTCTCTACTGTTTGGCACTTGGGTCGTTTCCAATTTCTCACGTTACTCCACAGAATAAAATAGATCACTTCCCATTTGCTTAATTTTTTATTTACTTCCTTGTAGGTAAGTTTCCTAAAGTGGAATGAATAGTCCAGAAGCTATGAACATTTTTATAGCTTATAATACACATAACCGGATTGTTTGTTTAAGGAATTACACCAACTCATATTATCACCAGCAATCTATTTCCCCACAATACTGTTAACAGGAAGTTTATCATTTTTATTTTATTTTTTACTAGTTTAACAGTTTCTAGAAAGATATCTTTTTTTTCCCCTTTCTTATTGAATTTATTGGGGTGACATTGGTTAATAAAAGGGCTAAGGTGTACAGTTCTATAACACACCATCTGTATATTGTATTGTGTTCACCTCCCCTAATCAAGTCTCCTTCCATCACCATTTATCCCCTCTTCTATCTCCCCCTGCCTTTCCTCCTGATAATCACCATACTGTTGTCTGAGTTGTGTGTCTGGGGATTTTTTTTTCTTAATCCCTTCATCTTTTTCTTTTTTAAGATTTTTAAATTAATTTTTAGAGGGAAAGGAAGGGAGAGAGAGAGAGAAACATCTATGTGAGAGGGAAACATTGATCAGCTGCCTCCTGCATGCCCCTTACTAGGAAGTGAGCCTGCAACTGGGGCATGTGCCCTGGCGGGGAATGGAACCTGCAACCTTTCCGTGCACAGGGCAACACCCAACCCACTGAGCCACACCGGCCAGGCCTCCCTTCGCCTTTTCCACCCAGCCCCACGACCCCCTGTCCTCTGACAATTGTCAGGCTGTTCTCTATCTAGAATGACACCTTAACATTGTTTAGATATGCTTTTCTTTATTGTTTTCAAGGCTGTATCTTTTGATGTACTTTTGTTCTTTTTATTTGGGAATAAACTGTTCATCTCCTTTGGAATTGAGACATGAACTACATATTTGTATCAATTCTTTCCTATTTCAAAATAAACTTCAAGTAGGTCTATTTTTCACATAGCTTTTATTATAGCCTTGTTTTATATGTATCTACCATAAATTTTAGAATAATCTTTATATATTCCTATCTTGTCTTTAATAATATTTTTCACTTCTTCAATATTTATCACCCCTTCAAACATGAGGTAGCCATGTTATTTTTCCCATTCTTAAGAGTACTAGTGTATATTTTACTCCAATCCAACTACAATTTATTCCATACTAGAGGCCCAGTGCATGAAATTCGTGCACACGTAGGGTCCCTAGCAGCTGCCGGCTGCCGGCCGGGGCCTTCCTTTGTTCCGTGCCGCCTCCTGGTGGTCAGCACATGCCATAGCGAGCCGATCGAACTCCTGGTCTGTCAAACTCCTGAGGGGACACTTTGCATATTAGGCTTTTATATATATAGATGATGTGATGTATTAATCCGGAGTAATGAACTTTCTTTCTATTATCCCATTGCCTGAACAGTTAGTTAGCAATGAAATCTCTCTGCATTGCTTTGTTCCTTCTCTGTTGTAAATTAACTGTATAAAGTAGGAATTTCTTTTCCGTTTCATTCACACAGCAAATATTTATTGAGCACCTACTATGTGCCAGGCACTGTTCTAGGTGCTCGGGATACAACTGTGAACAAAACGAACATCCTATTGGAGGAGTCAGGGGAGAGAGGTAAATTTTAGGAATAGAGATAGATGGATAAATAAATAACAAGTCAGGTAAGAAGGAATGACAGGAAGCCTGGCAGGAAGGTGAAAAGTTGACATTTTCAATGGGAATGTAAGGAAGTGACATTTGAGCAAAGACATGAAGGAAGGGAGGGGACAAGCATGCAAATACCTGGGGGGGTGGCCCTCGGGGAGGGAAGGTTCCAGTGGAGAGAACAGTAATTGTCAAGGAATGCCAAGTTTCCTGAGGACGAAGGTGCCGGGGGTTTTCGGGCTGTGGTGCTGAGGAAGCCTGGAGGAACGCAGTGGAACCCACAGACCGATTAGGAGGCCCCCGGCAGTGGTCCAGGCAGGAGGCCGTGGTGGCCTCGGTCAGGGCAGTGGAGGTGAGGGGCTGAGCCGTGGTCGATTCTGGTTCTATTTTTGACCTTAGGATGACTCCACATATTTGGGGCAGACCACTGGAGGGGTGGACTTGCCATTGACTGAGATGCATCAGACTGTAGGAGGAACAGTTTGCAATTTGGAATTGGTCCTGTTTTAAGCTTACGATGCTTTACATACCAAAGGAAGGTGGTTTACGCTGTTTCCTGCTTGTGGGCCGATAGTTTGATAAATGCTTTTTTGTGAGGCATTTGAAATCCTGTGAGAGAGTCCTTACTTTTCCTATTATTCTATAAAATTGGTATCAACTATTCAGCTTCTATAATTATTCCGCAAGGCTTTAACCTAGCGTTGCATTCCAGCTGTTAACTTTGAAAGCCCTGTCACATTTATGAAGCTTTGTTTTCTCAGCGATGATCTGGTATCTCTGACTGAAAGGTCCCGGGTTCGATTCCGGTCAAGGGCATGTATCTGGGTTGCGGGCACATCCCCATTGGGAGATGTGCAGGAGGCAGCTGATCGATGTTTCTCTCTCATCGATGTTTCTAGCTCTCTATCTCTGTCCCTTCCTCTCTGTAAAAAATCAATAAAATATATTTAAAAAAAAAAAAAAAAAAAAGAAAGCCCTGTCACATTTATGAAGCTTTGTTTTCTCAGCGATGATCTGGTATCTCTCTCCGTTTGTTCACATCCTCCTTTAGTTTTCCTGCTATGGTTTAATAATATTCTTGGAATAAATCTCATGGCTCAAAGAAAATCCTCAAGTAAATTTATTGTTGGTTTGTGGTTATAAATGGAATCTTTCTCTATTTTTATTTTATGTTTTTATTAACATAACCCTATTTCACTGACAGAAATGCCATTATGCGATGTGGGTTTCTTTTGGCTACATCTTTGCTGAATTCATTTATTATTTCTAGTAATTTCGGGGCTGCTTTTCTTGGAACGTTCAGGTATATAATCATGTCAACTACCAAAAAGTAGTAATTTTTTAATTCCTATATTTATAGCTATTACCAGCATTTCCAATGCCATGTTGAAAAGAATGGTGCTGGGTGAGCCTTCTGGTCTTAACTTTCAAGGCGAGGAACTCTGACATCTCCAGTAAATGTGATATCGGCTTTCCAGAATGAGTACCTGGCTCTTCTCATCAAAAAATAAAAGTCTCGCCTGGCCGCCGTGGCTCAGTGGTTGAGCATCAACCTATGAACCAGGAGGTCATGGTTCAATTCCCAGTCAGGGCACGTGTCTGGGTTGCAGGCTCCATCCCCAGTAGGGAGCGTGTAGGAGGCAGCCGATCAATGATTCTCTCTCATCATTGATGTTTCTATCTCTCTCTCCCTTTTCCTTCCTCTCTGAAATCAATAAAAATACATTAAAAATAAAAAAGAAATGCAGACACTGAGGCCAGACACACAACTCAGACAACAGTATGGACTACGTTGGGTGTGGGGAGCTGTTCCCAGTGGTTTTCCGAAAGCCGCCTGGCTCCTGACAGGAATAGAGAATTTCACTGGTTTGCATCTCCCGGGCGGGCGCACACCAGATGTTTGCCTTAGCATACCATACATTCCCGAGGCATGCACCCCGGGCGGGGGGGCTCTCTCCCCAGGCGCAGCTGCCTGCAGTCCCTCTGACCCCTTGCCAAGTGCACAGGCTCATCTGGTCAAAGACTTCTCTTGGGCATCACAGGCCTTGGAACCGGATTCCGGATTCCTGTGCACGGTTTGCCATTGTCACAGGGGCCTTCTCTCCTCCGGCCACATGGCCTGACCTGTCCTCGGACCCCACAGTCCCCAGCAAGTTGCAGAGCACTTGGCAGGTGCTCGGGAAATACTGTCTCCTGAACGGAGGGGCTCACTGACCAGGAGTTGAGCAATGTCACCTCCTGGCATCGGTCTTTGGGGGGGGGGGCTGTGGAGCCGGGTGACTTCTTTAAAACCTCTCCACGTGTACATACGCCTCCCCCACCGAGAGCCTGCTGCAAACACACCTAACCTGCCCGTGTGTCTCCCCCGCAGGACAGGCACGCGGCAGGCATAAGAGCTGGCTTCTGGGGTGGGGAAGCGGGGAGCTTTCCAGAGGACATCTCTTTACTCAGCAAATATTTACCTCGCAAAGGGAGGGGGAAGGGCATTCCAGGGAGAGAGAGCAGTTTAAACAAAGCTAAAGAGGAAGGAAACCCAGAGATGTGTGCGGGTTCGTGAGTAGTGGAATTCAGGAGATAAAATCTGGAAGATAACAGGGGAAACCCATCAAGAAGTCCTTGGATTCTTGGCAAAGGAGTTCGGGCTTATTTCTGCAGACAAGAGGGAGTCAAAGAAAGATTCTGAGCACGAGATAGACATCATCAAAACTGCTCGTTAGGAAAACTAATTTGACAGGCAGTGGTGCCCAGAATGGACGGAGACGAGGAATCACGGTATAAAGCCGCCGGCAATGATGGAGCACTTAGCACGCACCCAGCACCACGCCAAGCCCTTTAGACACAGAGTCTCATTCAATGAGGGTAAGAGATGGTGCGTCTAAGACTAAGTGCCCAGCACCTGGCGTTTTCCAGTCCTCACAGTCGCCCTGTGAGCCGAGTCTTATTATTGCCTCAATTTCGCAAACGAGGCCTGAGGTTCACAGGGATGAAATAGGAAATGCCCGAAGTCAAGTGGCGAGAGCGGCAGAGCCAGGATTTAAATGCACGTTGGTCTGATTCCTGAGGGAGGGAGATGCTAGGAAGCAATTGCAAACGTCCTGACAATTGGTAACGAAAGGGGGAGAAACAGGAGAGGAGGGACAGAGAAAATGGATGTACCACCGACTGATGGACACCTAATGGACATGACAAGGCAACAGACAGGCGGGCTGGGAGGGAGCCTGGTCCAAGAGCATGGGCGGCCAACAGAAAGGGGGCATCGCAATGAAAAGCAAGAACATAGGATCGGGGCATAAAAACAAGCCCGGCCAGCGTGGCTCAGGGGTTGAGCCAGGACCTATGAACCAGGAGGTCCCGGTTCGATTCCCAGTCAGGGCACATGCGTGGGTTGCAGGCTTGATCCCCAGTGTGGGGCGTGCAGGAGGCAGCCGATCAATGATCCTCTTTCATCATTGAGGTTTCTCTCTCTCTTTCCCTTCCTCTCTGAGATCAATAGAAATATATTTTTAAAAAAACATAGGAGGCAAAGTAAGTTAAAGGGATTCAAATATGTTTAATTTGATGTGTGGATGGCATTATCAAGTAGAGCTATCTTGCAAGCATATGGGAAAATCATCTTATTCCTTGCACCCCTTTCCCCATTTATAATTTCTCATTTTTTTAAATTGCTTAAACGTTTTTTATTGGGGTAAAATATGCATAATAGAAAATGTACCTTTTAACCATTTTTAAGAGTCTTACGGTTTTTCAATGAGCATAGAGTTGACTTCTGGTTTCCCTTCCAGCGTATGTAAGGAGCGTGTAAATCATCACCGGATTCTAACAGCAAGTAAGAAGCTAAACAAACTGAAAATTCAACAACCCTCCCCAGATTCAGCAGGAAAGCGGAGGTCACAGGGCAAAGTGCTGCCCTGGACATCGGAGAAACAGACGCACAGACAGAGTCACAACTCACCGGAGCACAGAGACCTCCGTGGGAACCAGCAGCAGCGGAGGGAAACCCGGACTCTAGTGGACAGGTTGCTGGGGCTCAGCGCGGGCGAGTCTGAGTGCCAGGGGATCCGAGTGCTTTTCCTGAGTTTTGGCTCCAGCAGCTCTCACCTAGATTCTCATAAGGAAAATGCCCTCATGCTGCCAGCAGGGGGAGGCGGAAGTGACGGTGTGAAATAGGCCAGAGGGTCTGCTCTTCACCAGGCCTGCGTTCAGGAGAAGCTGTCTTCCCAGAGCCTACGCTGTTGGGGTTCAAGCAGAGCTTCGTCCACCTGGGGAAGGGGAACAGCCAACCCCAGCCCACTCGAGCCATCTCGCCCCACCTACGGGAGAGACAACGGAGAGGCACTCGTGGAGGTCACAGCCCAGGGACACAGACTCGCTAGGAGACGGAGACCTGATCATAGGCCTGTGGAGCACTCCCCTCCCCCCCCACACCTCACCACCACCCCAGTAACGGCCTGCTTACCAGGGTTCCTTTCCCCCCATATACCATGTCTGGCTTTCACCAACAATAACAAAAGCTTACAAGGCATACCAAAGGCAAAAATTACGGTCTGAAGAGACAGAACCAGACTCATGTATGGCAGGGCATGTTGGAATTCTCAGACCAGGAATTTAAAACAACTGTGATTAATATGCTAAGGGTGCTAATGAATAAAGTAGACAACATGCAAGAACAGATGGGTAACATAAACAAAGATATGGAAAGTCTAAGAAGGAATGTTTTAAATGCTACCGGTCAAATGCACAGTAACAGGCATGCTCTTGATGGCTTTATTAGTAGACTGGACATGGCTGAGGAAAAAAATCTCTGAGATTGAGACTATGTCAATAGAAATTTCCAACATTAAAAATCAAAGAAAAAAAAAAGACTGGGGGTGGGGAGAAGAACAGAATACCCAAGAACTGTGGGACAACTTTAAAAGGGCTATATTTGCATAATGTATGGAATACCAAATGAAGAAAAAGAGAAAAGAACAGAAGAAATATTTGAAGCAGTCATGACTGAGAACTTCCCCCAAATCAATGTCAGATGCCAAATCAAACCACTGATCTAGGAAGCTCAGAGAACACCAAGGAGGGTTAATGCCCAAAAACCCACACCTAAGCATATCATATCCAAACTGCATAAAAATCAAAGATGCAAAAATCTTGCAAGAAGCCAGAGGAAAAAACACCCTGTCTATAGAGGATTAAAGGTAGGAATTAATTTGACTTCTCAGAAACCATGCAAGCAAGAAGACAGTGGAGTGAAATATTTGAAGTGTGGAGAGAAAAACCCACCTCGAGTTCTGTACCTTGTGAAATGATCCTTCAAAAGCGAAGAAGAAAAAAAGACTTTCTCAGACAAACAAAAATTGAGGATATTTGTTGCAAGTAGATCTGACTTGCAAGAAATGTTAAAAGAAGTTCTTCAGAGAGAAGTCAAATCTACATTTTAAAAAAGGGAGCGCATTGGAGAAGGAATAAGTAAAGGTAAAATTAAAACCTGTCTTCTTCTAATTGATCTAGCAGATAACAGTTTGTTCAAAAATAATAGCAACAATGTATTTGATTATGTATAAATATGTAATACATCCACCTATAATATACATACACACATATGTTTATGTATAAGTGAAATGAATGACAGTAGAAATACGACGAACAAGAGGGAGAAATTGGGAATATTTTGTTATGATCGGATACTTCCACTACTTCTGCAGTGTTCAGTGTTATTTGAAAGTGGACTTGGATTAGTTGTAAATGTGTATTGCAAATTCTAGGGCAACCACTATAAAAAGTTAAAAAAAGTATCATTGATATGCTAAGAAAGGAAGAAAAATGGAATCATATAAAACACTCAATTAAAATCACAACAGCCAGTCCTGGCCAGTGTGACTCAGTCAGTAGGAGCGTTATCCCATACACCAAAAGGTCCCAGGTCATCAGCTGCCTCCTGCACTCCCTACAGGGGATCAAACCCAAAACTAGGGCATATGTCCTGACCGGGAATTGAGCCATCAACCATTCCATGCACTAGAGATGAGGCCCAACTAACTGAGCCACACTGGCCAGGGCCGAGTTCTTTATATATTCCTGACACAAATCCTTTGTTGAACATATGATTTGCCAATGTATCTCCCAGTCTACAGCTTATCTTTTCATTCTTCTTGTTTCCTTTACAGCAAAAGTTTTTGACTTTGATGAAGTACAGTGTATCCATATTTTTCTTTTATGGATCATGCTTTTTTGGTCCAATCTTAGAGCTCTTTGCCTAACCCAGATCATTAAGATTTTCTTCTCTATTTTTCTCTAAAAGTTTTGTAGTTTTATGGTTTTTTAAAATATATATTTTTATTGATTTCAGAGAGGGAGAGAGAGATAGAAACATCAATGATGAGAGAGAATCATTGATCGGCTGCCTCCTGCGTGACTCCTACTAGGGGTTGAGCCCACAACCTGGTCATGTGCCCTGACCGGGAATCAAACTGTGACCTGTGACCTCCTGGTTCATAGGTCGATGCTCAACCACTGAACCATGCGGGTTAGGCTGTAGTTTTCAATCCATGGTCTATTCTGAGTTAACTTTTGTATAAGGGGTGAGGTTCGTTTTTTTGCATATGGATATGCAACTGTTCCAACACAATTTGTTGGGGGGTAAAATACTATCCCTTTCGGCAATGAATTGCCTTTGATAAATATCAGTTGGCCATATTTGTGTGTGTCTATTTTTGTTTCACGGATCTATGTGTCTCTCCTGTTGCCAATACCACACCATTTTGATTACTGTAGCTTTTTAGTAAGTCTTATAATCAGGTAGTGTGATTCCTCCAACTTTGTGCTTCTTTTTCTTTTTGTGTTTGCCGCTTTTTCAAAAATTGTTTTAGATGCCGAAACCGGTTTGGCTCAGTGGATAGAGCGTCGGCTTGCGGACTGAAAGGTCCCAGGTTCGATTCCGGTCAAGGGCATGTACCTGGGTTGCGGGCACATCCCCAGTAGGAGATGTGCAAGAGGCAGCTGGTCGATGTTTCTCTCCCATCGATGTTTCTAACTCTCTATCTCTCTCCCTTCCTCTCTGTAAAAAAATCAATAAAATATATTTAAAAAAAAAATTGTTTTAGCTATTCTAATTCCTTTGCCTTTCCTTATAAATTTTAGAATCAGTTTGTGTATTATCTACTAAAAATCTGTTAAAGTTTTTATTTGAATTGAGTTCAGTTTATCAATTTGGAGAGAGTCAAGTCTATCCTCTGTTGAGTCATGTAATCCATGAACATGGTATGTCTCCTTTTACTTAGGAGCGTTCTCTCATCAGTGTTCTGTGGTTTTGATTTCTTTCATCAATGTTTTGTGCTTTTCAACATAGAGTTTCTATATATGTTTTAGGAGATTTATACCTAAATCTTCATTTTTAAGCTATTGTAAATGATATCTTTTTTAAAATTCTGGTTTCCAATTTTTATTGCTAGTATATAGAAATATGATATATTTTTATGTGTTGGCCTTAATTCTGCCATCTTGCCAAACTCACTTATTGACTATAGGTGATTTTGTGTGTGTGTGTGTAAATGAATTGTTTGGGCTTCTCTGGGAATAGGGACAGTTTTATTTCCTCCTTTTTAATTCATATGCTGTTTTGTTTTGTTTTTAAAATCATCAATAGCCCTGGCCAGTGTGGCTCAGTGGGTTGAGTGTTGTCTCATGCACCGAGAAGACGCCTTTTGATTCATTTACGTTTTGCTCCTGAATCTAAACTACAGAGGGTAGTACTGTTGACTGCAGGGATAACCAACTTTTGTAATATCACTATCTTATCGCCAATTATTAAAACTAGTCTTCCCTGTTGACACACTTTCTGTGATTGCTGCCATCAATATTTACGTTTCCCTACAGCTGCACCGTCAACCTGATCTCTTTCTTCTTCTGTTTTGCAGCCACACCCTAGAACAAGACAAGATCTACCAACCAGGTGAGCTACGGCTTCTGTGCACTTCAGAACGATGTCAATCTCTAGGGGGTTGGGGCGTTTCTGCTGCCTTTTCCTCCAGAAAGCTAAAAGGCAGCTGTCCCCCCTAATCCGTGGTTTCGCTTTCCGTGGTTTCAGTTGGCTGCCGTCAACTGTGGTCCAAAAACATTAAGGACAATTCCAGAAATGAAGTTTTACATTGCGTGCTGTTCCGAGTAACGTGATGAAATCTCCCGCCCTCCGGCTCCGTCCTGCTGAGCGCGTGATTCATCCCTTTGTCCGGCGTGTCTGCGCCGTCTGTGCTACCGGCCGTTAGTCACTCAGTAGCTGTCTCCACTATCAGATCGACTGTCACAGTATCGCTGAGCTTGTTCCCAAGTCACCCTTATTTTCCTTAAAAATGGTCCCAAAGGGTAGGAGTAGTGATGCTGGCTCGGAATGTGCCAGATTAAAAGTAGAACTGGGCCCTAGCCAGTTTGGCTCAGTGGATAGAGCGGCGGCAGGCAGACCAAAGGGTCCTGGGTTCAATTCTGGTCAAGGGCACGTACCTTGGTTGCAGGCTCCTCCTCAGCCCAGCCTGGCCCTGGGTTGGGGCACGTGCAAGAAGCAACCAATCGATGTGTTTCTCTCACATCGATGTTTCTCTCAGTCTTTCCCTCTCTCCCTAAAAATTAATGGAAAAATATCCTCGGGTGAGGATTCACAAAAAATAAAATGAAGGTAGAGTTGGAATATGCCAAAGACAGACTGTAAAGTGCTTCCTTTACGTGAAAAGGTAAGAATGTATAGGAAGAAGCAAAGTATATAGAGTTTGCTACTATCCATGGTTCCAGGCATCCACTGGGGGTCTTGGAATGCACTCCCTGCGGATAAGGGGGGATGACTGTGCTTCAGACGGTAGCTGAATAGGCAGCCCATCTGAGATCCATGGGGAAGGCAGCCCAGGTCAGTAGGGTGCAAGCAGACAAAGGGGGGTTCCCACCAGGCAGCCCCTCTCCGTCTGATGGGGGGAACCGATGAGAAGTCGGCGAGTCATTTCTTTTGTTTCATTTTTAAAAAATGATCTAAAAATGTTTGTAAGTATTCAGTTGAGGTATAAAGGGTGTCTATGCAGCAGAATGAGAAATGAAATAATAAATGCATTCCAAGAGCTAAAATTCGCGTATGCTTTTTATATGCCAGGCACGGCTCTAACCGCTGTACATGTATTAACTCACTCGATTGTGACAAAACCCCCAAAAGGCAGGCATCGCCGCCGTCGTCCGGGTTTTCCTGGGAAACGCTCACAGGAGGGGTGTAGCGTCCAGAAAGAGGCTTTCGCTTTTGTGGAACATACATCTGCTTGCTTAGATTTTTGTCATGAGTCTGCATTACTTTTATCATTGAAAAGTACTTTTTCTTCAGATACTCTCCAAGAAGAGGTCATTGCACTCACTGTAGAATTGTTAGGATGTGGGAACAAGCTCAGAGGAGTAAAGGAAAATGGCCCGTCACCTCACCACACAGAGGACATAAGGATGTTGGTGTGTGCCGTCTCAGGTCTTTTCTTCGTCTAAATATGTCATTTGATGTTTATGAAAAAACTGGCTCACGCTGTAATGCTGCTTTAAAAGCTGCTTTTTCAGCTGACGATGGGATTCCGTCACGGCCATCTTCCCGTGTCACGGTGCGGCCTTCGCCTGGTGCACAGCGTGGCCTCGGCCATATTTTCGGGGACCCCCTTTCGCTGTGGGAAGTAGGACAGGGGGGATTCACTCAGCTCTGCTGAATGTGGCGGAGGAGCCCGATGGATAAATCAGCCATATCTGGTTTTCTTGGCCGTGAATCCTTCAGGAAAGAATGTGAAGTATTTTCCCCACATCCTCCCAGCAGGGCGGCCAGAGCTCCGGCCCTGGAGGTCTAAGAGGAGGGAGCTGGTTCTCCACGGAGCAGCAGCCTCACCTGTGGGGCGTGGCTCCCGGGAACGCAGAAGAGGGTGCTGCACGCCCTGCAGAAGTTGAGGTCCCACGGGAATGCAAGCATGCGCCCCCTTCACAGGACGCCAAAACCTGGAGAGGAGATGGCTGTGAGGAGACTGGAAAAGACACCCCTGGGTGGCCAGCTGCTGGGAGGGGCCCGTGTGCGTGGGCAGCTCAGCAGCTTGCCTGGAGAAGCGGTGCCCACACACAGGAAGGACCAGCATTCAACACGTGGCCATAACCGTGCAGCCGTAACCGGGGCCACCTCCACCGATGGCGGGCCAGCTGCCCCACTTCCACAAGATCCAGCCCTTTGTTTGGTTATCTGGGGATTTCTGGGTTTTGTTTTGCTTTTAAATATATACTTTTATTGATTTCAGAGAGGAAGGGCGAGGGCGAGAGAGAGAGAAACATCAATGATGAGAGAGAATCACTGATCGGCTGCCTCCTGCACAGCCCCTACTGGGGATTGAGCCTGCAACCCGGGCATGTGCCCTGACCGGGAATCGAGCCATGACCTCCTGGTTCCTAGGTTGACACTCAACCACTGAGCCACGCGGGTCGGGCTCTGGGGGTTTTGTTTGTTTGTGAAATTCAATGAGCCAAAGGAGGAAGCCCTAACGATGATATGAAACTTCTCGCCAGCTTGGAAGAACAGAGAATATTGGCATTTCTTCCCCCTGAGTGACATGGGGCTGCTCCTTCCTCGGATGCAGCACCTCGAGGGACATTCGTGCGGCTCAGTGTCTTCCTCCTGGATCGCTGGCTGTCGGTTCCCAGCGTCTTCTATGCCCTCAGGGGTGACAGGTTCCGCTGGATCAGCCAGCTCTGTGGAGAAGGGGCCTGACCTGGGCCAGGACAGATCCTGGTGCCCTAACCGGTTTGGCTCAGTGGATAGAGCGTCGGCCTGCGGACTCAAGGGTCCCGGGTTCGATTCCGGTCAAGGGCATGTACCTTGGTTGAGGGCACATCCCCAGTGGGGAGTGTGCAGGGGGCAGCTGATAGGTGTTTCTCTCTCATCAATGTTTCTAACTCTCTATCCCTCACCCTTCCTCTCTGTAAAAAATCAATAAAATATATTAAAAAAAAAAAAAAAGACAGATCCTGGCTCTGGTCCTGAGTCACTAACCACTCATCACTCACCTGAATCACTAATGTCCTCTGTGCCTCCCAGCAAGTCTCTTCGGCCTCTGTGCCTCCCTGCTCCGGTCTGCGAACCTGTAGGTCTGTGGACCTGTGGGTCTGTGGACCTGTGGGTCTGTGGACCTGTGGGTCTTTGCCCTGGGAGCCCTCGGCCTGTCTAGACGAAGTCACTGGCACATTCGATGACTTATCCACGGAAAGAGTGAGTAGGTCACTATTTCCCCGTGTGCACCAGTCAAACCAGACGGCAGGAACGTTCCAGAACATGCTCGCACCTCCATGGTTTTGCTCTCGCTGTTCCCCTACAATGAGTGCCCCTCATTTCTGCCTCTTGACATCCTAATGGTCCTTTAAGCTTCAACAATCACCTCACTCCTCAGGCTGCCATCCCTCCCCTGGGAAGCCGGCTCTTTCTTCTTCCCCGGGCGGGCGGGCGGGCGGGCTGTCACATGCCTTTGATGGAGGCAGCGATCAGGGACACGTTGCAAGCTCCCTGGAGGCGCAGGCTGGGCCTCATTCATCTCTGCGTCCCCCACAGGACCCAGCCCCGGATTCTGCAAGTTCACGTGCAGCCCAACGTTAGTGGAACCGAAAGTGGGCCCTGGGCCTCAGCTGGGATGGAGTCTCCACAGGCCCTGCAGCCTGAGGTGGGTGCCTGGAGTGCCGGGCCGGGCGACTTCAGTGACTGGACTCTCTACCCTCCTCCTCGACCAGCCCCTCCCTCCCCCAGCCCCTCCAGGAGCAGGAAACACTTGTACTCGGGACTCTCTTCCATCAGACCTGGGCCCCTGAGGACCCTAGCCCCACCCACTCCGTCCCTGGGTCCCTCCAAAGAGGGCAGAGGCCCAAGTGGGTCTGCAGGAAAGGGTCAGAGGGGCTGTGGGAGGGGCCAGCACCCCAGCTCCTGGTCTCTGGCTTGCCCCCCCTCCTCCATCCCCTGTGCTTGCTCTGGGTCTACACCATGGCGCTGCCCCTTGGTCTGGGCGGTTTGGAGTGTGGATGGGCGTGAGCTCATGCTGCAGGCTGAGCCTCCCTCACTGCTGCTGAGGGTGGGATGAGGGAGCTTAACTCTTTTCCGGGGGAAGAGGCCAGGCTGGGCCGGGGTCAGGTGCTGGGAGCCTTCAGCCCTCGCCCAGCTGCCCGGGCAGAAGCCCTATGCGTCGTG